AGCGATGCCCTTTGCCCTAGTAGCGATGCCCTTTGCTCCTAGTAGCGTCCTTGTTCCTAGTAGCGATGCCAGGAGCCCCTAGGCCCTAGTAGCGTCCTTGCTCCTAGTGTCGGTAATGCACTGAGGAATCATTGAGACTGTGGCGTCGGTCTCGGCCTTGAACTTCGTTGATCAGGACTTGGATCCAGCTGAACTTGGAGGTGGTGCCGTAGAGCTGAACGTAGAGCTTTGCTTCTTAAAAAGGGGGATGTAGTAGCTAGAGGGTAGGTAGCTAGTAGAAGAGGTAGCTACTACCTACAAGTCAGCTACTAGTACGGACGCAGGATAGCGCTCGCACTAATGATTGAGTTTACGGAAACTTAACATTAGAACTTGTAACTTAACATGTAGATTTTGGGCACAAAGCCTGAAGACTCTGTTCGATGTTGCATTGGTGGCAACCAATTCGATCCTCAGCGTTGTTTTGGCGCAGCGGTACAATTCTTTGCATTTTAGAAGCGCAAGCTAAGTGTCAGCACATCTGATCGAGACCTGATATGCCAGGCTTTTTGTCGTGGCGAGCAGCAAGCTCACCTTTGGTACAGCGGCTTGCCAAAAAAGACAATCTTTTAGGTGAACTTGAACTATTGAAAAACACAGTGATGTTCGAGTATATTTAGTATATACATATAATTGAACTCTTGAGATTGGATTAATATGGGTTCAGCATTGTTTACCAGTCCCCCAGGTTGCCCAAGAATTCTGTCATCAAGCTGGGGTGATTTCCAGGTCGTACAATGTCTATTTGGCCAGTGATGCTGTTGGCACGGGGCGATTGCCTGCAGCTGGTGCCATGGCACACCTCATCGAAAGGGGCACTTGAGTGAAAGTCGCACTTAAAATGAGCTACAGTGTTTGATACCAATGACCAAGCTTGATGTGAACTTGTCACAGATACCAAGCTTCCTAAGGTGGAATCATCTCTGTCACTCAGACTCATGCTATTCTACCTGCGGACTCTCAGCTTGAGCGGCAGCCCTCCTCTGCTTCATTGTGCTTTATAAGCTTGTCTTCGGTTTTGTACAAGAAATAAGATTATTTTAGCTGCAATGTAATAGTCTGCATTGCAGCCCAAGATGGGCCAAATTACACTCAGCTGCAACTCTACTTCGAAAAGCTATTTATATATGCCTTCAACTTGAACTTAGCCATGAGGGGTCTCAGCTTGTCCCACACGTAGAGGACTCAATGATGACCCAAAAGAACTCCATCTCTATATTTTCTGACAAGTGGAGGCGTCAAAGAGGTATAGAATCAATGCAAGTCCATCCAATTTCAAAACTTCAGGATACTGCCATCAACAACTTCACACACTTCCTGGCGACTTGGAATTGCAAGAGGTCAGATTGTGCTGCTTCATCACTCCGCAACAAGGCCAACACCCTTAGCCTTGTAAAGATGCCGAAGATTCATGAACAATTCTGCCTGTGTTTTTTTGTTGGAAGCTTTGGAAGCTTGTGGAACAACATGGAACAACCCCACAAAACTGGACATTTTCACAGATTCACGGAGGAATAACTAGGAGCAAGGACGCTACTAGGGGCTCCTGGCATCGCTACTAGGAACAAGAACTCTGCTACCATTTCACCAATCTGCAGATTCTCCTAGGTCTTCACGGAGTCGGTCCTTGCGGAGCAAAGCACCCCGGTGGCAACCCCCCTCAGCGATTCCTTCGGCCTGGCGAGGAACATCGATTTCTACGACCTGGACCGCGGTTCGAAGCCGTTACCATCGAAGCGCGGTTCGGGTCTTTGGAATTTGGGGTCAATTGAGTGGTCTGGCTTGTCTGTGATGTCGGTGCTGTGATCTCGCAAGTAGAACGATACAGAGACTGGATCAATTCGATCCAGGTCCTGGTATGATCACCACAGGTTTGATTGTAATTGACATTGAACTTTACAACTGTGTCTCATCCTTATACCCTCATAGTCACCCATCGTCCTCGTTTAGCTGCCTTCTGCAGGACCTTGACGATGGTGACCTGGGTGGAAACCTTTCATGGCAGCCGCCGGTGGATGACAGCCTAGTGAACCCAGCCAAGATAAATGACAAACAATTGCCGGTAGGAATAGGTCCTGGCATGTCCTGGCTGCATGATGAATCACACGCACAGGACTTTTCAGAGAGTGATACTGGTACGTTGCAATGACCCAGCTGGTACTAGACTTCTTCTGCTTGTCAAGACTTTGTGTGCATGATCAAAGATGTTTCAATTGTATTTCTAAGTACCATATTAGCAGGGCCTCAGAAATGAGCACAACACTCCAAGGATTGGATACAATGTCTTCCTGGCAGATGCAGCGCCATGTCAGGCCAGATCGTGCATTGCCTCCTGATATGAATCTGATGGTAGCATAAGTTTGGCGGACTGCCTGCTTGCTCGGAAGAAGCAACTTCCAATTCCAGTATTTCCAGGGATTGCTCGAACAGCGTAGAAGATGGACAAGAATGTCGGTCAAGACCTTGGGTATGACTAGTGACTAGTTCTGTTCGCAGATAGAGGATAGCTTGCCTGGAAGGACTGTGGGAGAAGCGCAGTTGCGAACCTCTCCGAGACCCTTGTGCAGATTCCTGCAGACACGCCAGTGCTCAATTGGACAGATTTTCTCATTTATGTCACTTGACATCAAAGGGAAGACCAGGCAGTGTAAGAAAGACATGTGACATGTACATTGCTAGATAGGAGTCGTCAACTTGCCTTGGTGGCGTCAGCAGTCGACTTGCAATGTTCAAAAGGTATGGGAAAGGCAAGAAGTTCTTTTTTGTGATGCCCTAGAGTTGGTTGCATTGGCCCAATGGCCTCGTAGAATTTTTTCTAACCCCCTGAATGATCTGGATGGCTCCACAACAGAAGGGATTTACGCATTGAACATTCAATGGGGTGAACAAAGGTACAATTTATATATGCAGAGACAAATGGACCAAATCCATGCATACATTAACTACTTTTTATGGGGGGGACATGAACACCTCTGGAAGATTGCCCAGGAGTCAGGTAATCTTCAAAGGTGTTTGCTGTAGTATTGCAAGACAAAGTGACCAAATAAAACTGGGGGATACTTAAATACGGTAATACTATGTGGACATTGTGGGGGTCTTTGATGAGAAGGGCATTGCCCTTTGAGGCAAAGATTTGGTTACGACTTTTTGTGTAGGCCTTGAAGCAGATGTTGCATTGCACGGGCTAGGAGACTGCCCGGTCTCAAATTGTTGAGGCTCGGTCAAGCTTTGCAGAGCAGAGCACACCTGCGACCTATGCTGTCGTGGATGCGAACGCTAGTGTCTCGGGGATCAACTTCGTGGACAAAGACCTCGAGTATAAGGAGACCATTGACAACACTTTACACATTTCGAGCCAGACCACCAAGACAATTCAATCAATTGATCCAATTCCCATTTAAAGGGCATTGCACGTGCTGCCTTGCACAGGAGATTGGGGGCACCTTGCTTTGGACGGCTCCGGATTCAGAGCGAGTTGAGAGTTATGGAATTTACTTGAGCTGCTTGGTGAAGCAGGAGCAGTTTTCGTCAGATCGTTTGCTTCGTTTTTCACTCTTCTTTGCCTTTTCAACAGCTTTTTGCATTGGTGCTGTGTTTGCTAAGGCGACGCTTCCCAGAATTCAAGAATCACTTTGGGCTATGTTGGCCAAGCCAGCACCACGAGGCCATTGTCTACTAAGTTCACAGGGTGTCTTCAACACGAGGTCAATTCAAAACCTCCAAGACAGAGAGAGAGAGAGAGAGACGAAAGACAGACGATCCACAACATCTACTAGTTGCTATTGCAGTAATGAACTGTCATTACTTTCAGATAAAGACGATACCTATTTCAATCTGACGATGTGTGGCAGAGCTCCAAGCTGCTTGGGAGGTTGATCCCTGCAGAGACCGAAACCTATGGGCTGGAATTCCTGAGCATCTACACGCGCTCTATCCTAGTCGTCAGGTCGCAAGTGAGAATCTTCATCCCATTAACTGGCTGAGAGTGGCTGAGATGGAACACCAGACAGAGTGTGTGAGGTGTTATGTTTAATGGACATGGTCGCTATTCTTTACTTGTTCGCTGTCGGTCATGGCCTGTCCTAAGTGCCACTAAGCTGAAACCCTTAGGCAGAGCAAAGCACGCCTGTGGCATTGGAGATCTCTGACACTGGGGCCGTGGGGAAGCCCAGAATGTGATGGCTCCCGGCCGAATGCATTCAGGCAATGACCAAATGCCTTTGATTCTTATTGACTTCACAACATGTATATAGTTAAATGAAATCAAACTATACAATCCTTTGTCAAGAACATTGAAACATGTACTTGATTCGTGTTGATTCATGTTGATTCCAGGTGATCACGAATGTGAGCTTTGTGGACTATGATTTGGATGAAAGTGATTTGGGTGGAAACCTGTCTTGGACAGAGCCGGATGATTTGAGTCAGGTGGGCTTGACTATGTAGACTGGCTGAGAATCATTCGCGACACAGCTTTCTTGTCCAAATCTACGATCTGTCATAGCTTCAAGTTGAAACCCTGCAGGTAGAACAATACAACATTTACTTCGCCACCACCAGGCTGGTTATTGTCACCAAGCAACTGGGGCTTGCTTCGAAGCAATTGGAGGAGTTTTGGATTCCATGGGTGTGTATTGGCATGGAGAACCCTGTTGTAGGCTAGTCTCCACCCCACCACGGGGATCCCCTTTTTCACTCAAGTCGACCTTTCCGCCTTCCAATTCAAGTGCGACCTTTTGATCAGAGATGCGATTAACTATTCGTCGCTTTTGGAGGGCTAATCGCGATTTCTCCGGGGTGCCAATCCCCATAGGACCTCTTTAGGTGGGCCGTTTGTGTAAATTAGCTGTTGCAGAGTCTGTAGCAGTTACTTCTGGAGATACCACATATTTGACATATTTAATTCATGTTAATTCATTGTTAGCGATTTGCGTTTTGTCAGTCAACAGTAACAATACGACTACCTCACTCTTACCGTACCCGCGCAGAGGGCAAAGGACGCGTAAGAAAGCGCCGGACTCGCTGCGCAAGATCGATAGCCCACCACGGGATCGATTTGGGGGTCTCCCTGTTTGGCGTCTTGACAAAGCTAGTAGCGTCCTTGCTCCTAGTAGTAAGGCCAGGAGCCCCTAATAGATTTATTGTTACTAGTAGCGATGCCCTTGCTCCTAGTAGCGTCCTTGCCCAGATCGTTAAGGGACAGGGATCGCATCCGAAGAGCCAGTGCAGGTGTGACTCCTCCGATGGATTTGCGAACTCTTCGGAGGAGTGGCTCAGTTGCACTAGTCAAAGGACGGATCAAAGAACGGGATTCGCCAAAAAGCTATGGAAAAGGTTCTTTCTTGGGATGTTTGCCGATTTGTGAATGATCCTGTATGGCTTAAGGATGCTTAATGGGTTTCGGGTTCCGATGTTTCATGTTGGAAAGTGAAGAAAGGAAGGTCTGGCCGATGCCTCCAGCATCCTCCAGCCTAGGAGTGACTCGAGGCTCGAAGTGCCTCAGCTTCATGGGTCGGTCGGTGTCGAAGCGGTGACTTGTCGGTCCAGAAGATGAGCCTAGGAGTCCAGAGGAGTCCAGAGGAGTCCGGAGTCTCCTTTGTTGGCAGGGCATGTATTTTTCTCGCAGGAGCAGTAACATTTTAGAATTCTTGAAAACTGGTGAACATTGGGTTCCACCCAGTTTCGGATGCACCTGCTCACGATACCAAGGTGTCCTTCTGCGACCGCACATTCTTCGGAACAACTCCTTTAGGCAGACGTGCAAGATGGGCAACACTTGGTTCTGAGGAGCATTTGTGTTATCCAAAATGGTTAAAGAATGTTAACGAGTTAATGTGTAGTTTGGACCTAAAGGATGTGTGAAATCCAACCAACATGGCCATCCTTGTCGGATTCCAATGTGGACACTTCCATGCAGGTGATAGCGACATCGCTGTGCTGCCAGAGACCTCCCTTGGTACTTTGGTGTAAACAACCACGTTGAAGGACACCAGTTTGTTCCTAATGATGAACAGTTACACATGTTACACGCTAATTCCGCGTGCTTGGCTTGCTTGGTTGCTTCTCTTGGTGGTCAAAGAATGTCGGACAAAGTCATTCTGTGAGAGCAGTGCTTTTGCTTGGCAAAATTTGGCAAGGTAACTTTACACACTTCTTGGTGTATGCCAACTCCTCCTTGGCCGAGCAGAGCATCCCAGCCTGGCATGAGATCTTTGCAACTCTGCAGCCAAACGCTGGCGAATCGAGGTTGTTGTTTGGTGGAGCACTCGTTCAGTGGCTTTTTCATACTGTGGGGGTTGTGGAATATGTAACAATGTAGACATTGGTGGATTGCAGTTCAATTGCTTCCCGGCACGAGGACATGAATGCTAGTGTCTCGGGCATCCATTTCGTGGATCTTGACCTGGATGAGACTCAGCTAGGCGGAAACATCTCATGGACAGCTCCAGCAGATCCCAGTCGTGTGCAGGAGACCGCACGTCACGTGTTCAATGGAGACCTTACATGCGCATGCTATGAAAGGTGTCCAGCATTGCTGGGAAGTGGCACGACACTGCACGAAGAGCTTTGTATTGAGCATCGTAGCCCTACCGTTACCATGCTGTAACTGTAGCAGTGTTTGTACTGTACTCTTTGTCTCTCGGAGGACTACGTGGTGAGCCTCTCAAACGACGCCCTTCAACGATCTGGAACTGCTGAGACTTCCGACTTGGGTGTAGTTGCCAGCGAGGAGCTGGTGCTACCTCCTGATGCTCAGCTAGTAGCGGCGTTTGTCATTGTCCCCAGTTCTTTTTGGTCAATCATCCTGAGAATCAGAAGATGTTATTGGCATAGCGGCCTAGTTTAGTTTTCATAATGTGATGTACAGGATTCCTGTTAATTCTTTCATATTCTTTCTTTGATAAATTTCAATCTGCTGATGTTAGCTGCTTTGCTGAGGAAGCGCCCATTGCAGACTTCATTCTGGCCACTTGGCTGGAATGGCTTCCGACCATGAGGGTTCGATTGGGGCACTGCCGACACTTCAAGTTTTGAGCTGGTTCACGAAAGCGAGCTCCGAAGGAGGTCAGCTGAAGTTCTCATGTAGAGGGGGAGGGTTAGAATTGATAGTTGCAAAATCCTACTCTACTAACATCATGGAAGGCCCGGGACATTCGTGGAACCTGAGGCTATTCGTGGACGTTACGTGGAATGGTGGGCCAGTAGGAAAACTGACTGCAACAAACACCCAGAAACCTTCGCAGAACTTTGTGGAAGGTATTTTTGATGCACTAACTTCGTATAGACACATTTTGCTGAACCCCTTTCTCCACACAACACACCCTCCATTTAGCCTTCATGCAAGGAACCCCCTACTACAGTGCCCCCATTGTGTGATAGAATCAATATGAATCAATATGAGTCAATTAATTGTTTCGGTGTTGATTTGAAGGGGGGCAAAAGGATGCATGCATCACAAGCATCACTTGAGTAATTGGGACCAGCTTAGCAAAAGCAGAGTTTCCACTCAGTATGACCAGTGAAACTGACGCCGAAGCATTGGAGAGGACACCATCGCTTGCATTGTGGTGGAATGAGGGTTGAGCTCTGAATTGTTTCGCTTTCGTTCCCACCTCTCAACAGTGGAAGGTCTACACTCGATCTCAATTGGTGGAGCAAACGATACTTGGCTGACGCATGATGTTCCTGAAGTTTGTGCTGATGTGATACTTCTTGTGTGCAAGCGCCTGTGATACTGGCTGCTGTCTAGTTAATCTCAAGGACCCCTGTGGCTTTCGACATTGTCGACGCTGTCGCATCTGCCAAGCCCTCAAAGCTGGGGAAATGGCCTGGTGATTTAGCACAAAACTACTTCGTTCCATAGACGTGAGCCAAGGTCTCAAACATCACCTTTCCCGATCACGACCTGGACGAGACGGACATCGGTGGCACTCTTTCTTGGCTGCCACCAACAACTGTGGGCAGCCACCTGGCTAGCTCAAAAGCATGGTGTCGGTATCAGCAAAGCGCGATGTGTTGCCAATGTGGCGCAGTGTCGAGGAGCCACAGAACAAATCTAACGAACGTCAAGACCGGTCTGAGGTGAAGAAGTGACCATCTACATGGCAGCTTGGAAGCATTTCCTTTAGAAATCAGCTTGATGCAACCCCTGACCGCTGACCGCCGCTGACCTGTCAGTGTATTCCTTGAGGTGTATTTGGCAACAATGTCTGGAGTTAGCTGTGGATCACACGACTGGTGTGCCTTCATCGGGAAAGAAGGGGGATGGTATAGCCAAAGGGTTCAGTTACTATATAGTAGCTTTGCGGTGATATGCGGATATTCAGGTACAGTCTGGCACCAGTTCTTTGTGATTTCTCCATCATGTTTGCGCCAACTCCAATGCATGCATACCTTGCATCATGATTGCACCGGATCAACATCTAAAGCTTTGGGGTCGGCCGCCCCAACACGTTTTCAATCACACACATCATAGCCAGATGTTGTATTACAACATCAATCTATATAATTTGTGTTGTATTAGTATATTGCAAGTTCATGCAAGCTGCCATTCTATTCCACTAAGTCACTACGCACTACTAGCATGTTTATGTTCCTACCGGGCCATCTTCTCGGGCAGTTCTCGCTTAGCGGATCTTGGGTTCGGCCTTCCAGTTGTGCAACAGAGGCGTGCGCTCCTACTTCGCTCAAGCTCCTGCAGAGATGGACAACATCTCAGTGCCCCCTGAGACACCGCTGGAGAACTTCACACATTGGTTGCTTTGCTTCACTGCTCGGCTTCTAAGAGATGTCATGGCTTCCAGATGCTTCAAGGCCTTAAAGGAGGGTAGTATGATGTAGTATGTCTTTGATCTCTACTAGTAACAAGAAGCTACTTGGTTGGCCATCGCTGTTAGGTTGGAGGCATTGCTACTAGTAACAAGAAGCTTTTTAGTATGTCTTTGAAGCTTCTTAGTTTCAGATGTTTCAAGGTCTTAAAAGAGACATCATAGTAGCGATGGCCTCCAACCTAATAGCAAAAAAACATACTCGGAATGGCCTCCAATCTAGTAGCGATGGCCTCTAACCTAAAAGACAATGATTTTTTTGTTGTTATCTTGTGCATGGTAGCAATGATTTGCGTCGGGCCATGCACATTATGCATATGTTCTGTGACAACATATAAAACCGTGCTGCAGCTTGGGAGTCGTTGAGTCTTTGAATAGATTGAATAAGTTCATGTTGAATGACTCCTGGACCAACTAATTGCCCAAGGCTGGTCTTTACTCGCTCCAGATTGGTCGAGCAAAGCACCCCTGTGGCGCATGAGATTTTTGATGCAGTCTCCAGCGTTTCAGGAGCAATACTCAGGTAACTGTGGTACAGTTTCAACAGCAGAGGATTGTGTTTAGTAGCGCATCAGTCACCAAGTTTTGTCTGCCCACTTATGGCAATCCAACCATTTGTGACATGTAATTTGCCTAGAGAGGTGCAGGTGCCAAACTTCAATAAGCTGTTGATTCTAGCTGTTTAGCTAGCCTTCACAGGAATCCAGTTCACCGACAAGGACCTCGACATCCTTGAACTTGGTGGCAGCTTGACAGTGGTGTGGAACCTGTGGTGTGACCCAGCAATGCGTACAACACTCTGGTAGACATTCCGGTAAAAGACATCCAACTTCCAACGATATTTAGTTTAACATATCATCAATCAGGTGGACAGTCTTTGACAACTTTTGATTTTGCTTGGAACGTCTTTTGTCTCCAAACTTCAAGCTGCAGAAAGGCACTGTCTCCTGTTTGGCAGCTTCTAGGCACTGTTACTTGGCTTGAGCCTGTGTATTCTATGCGGATCTCCAACTACAATCTCTACCTTTCAATGGATCCCGCTGGAGACTTCCCTGCATTTGTTGGTATTTGATTTGCCGACAGCCAGCTTTGCTTCATTGTTTGAGTTGTTATGTTGCGCACTGTTCTTCTCTTTTCGACATAACCCTTTTGCACATGTTGATCCCAACTGAACTGTCGATTTATTTGCCAAGGACTTGGACGCAATGCATTGGGCTCTGCTGTGCAGCAACAGCTGCTGATTGGCCCGGATGTGCCAAGTGAGGGCTATTCCTTCATTTCGGCCTCAAAGCTGCAGCAGTTGAGTCACCTTTTGTCGGGGGCATGTGTTCGTCGTTCGAAGTTTGACGCTGGTGGATGGCATGGGACAGAATGCAGATGGATGCAGGGTCTTAGATGTCTTTAGCATTTTCACCATATTTCACTTATGGCGGCTGAACACCGAATTGAGCGTGAAGAAAGTCAGACAGCCGTTCAGCGCATTTGTGTTTCACCAGATGAAAATTGCCCTTTCTGATGGCTCACGATTCTCAATGGCAGAAAGACGTTTGCTAACAACTCCCCTGACATTGTCACAATCTTTCGCCAACCAATCAATTGCTTCCAAGAGGTCTACACGGAATCCACCTTGGTTGAGCAGACTACACCTGTGTCGCTGCAATTCTTTGATCGCAGCTTGGCTGCATGCTGGAACAGTCACATGTAGGCCTCCAGCGCGGTAGGACAGTATCGCAAAATATCAGAAACTTCATCCTGACTCCTTTGGTTCTGAGTGACAGAACCAGTCTTAATAAGGTGAATCATTGGTGCAGAACGTGAGCTTTCCTGATTTTGATTTGGACTACGATGACTTGGGCGGCACATTGGAATGGGGCACACCACAAGACGACACTCAGGTGCGAAGCAGTCAATAGATTTCAATCCAATCTCGTGCCCTTCCTTTGACTCGGGAACACACATTCCTTTCGCAGTTTCTTGATTCGCCATGTCTTCGTGGTACGACACATACTGGCCACCTGTGATTTGCTTTCAGGTCACACATTACGTCGTTTACATGGTGGTGGTACCTGCAGATGACTTTATGGTGAACGACTGCGAGGTTGGGAAGACCTTGTCGCAGTCCACAGTAGAGACCAAGCAGAAGCCAATACGTACAGCTTGGATTTGGCGACACTAAATGAGACGTCAAACAGTCAAGTCAAGCCTGGTAGATCCTGACAGTATCAATCCACAGTCCTGCACAATCCAGTGGACTCATTGCTAGGCCATGATCACGGAGGATTCGATTGCATCTTGATAGCAAGGTGTAGCAAGGAGTCGTAGTGAGATTATGCGGACCACCTGGCTTGGACAGGATCGTTGACGGCACCCAAAGCGAGTCCTTGTTGAGGCATCATATTTTGCAGTTGTTTGTTTGGATTAGCTCTTCCAACGTGGGCAAAGGTGTCACAGGAAACGGTTGCTTTTGGTTTCTTGCGCTCCTCAGGGTGCATCTATATAGCCAGGTATAAAATTGTATAATAAGGGATTAAGAGAGCAAGCCCAATGTATTGCTAGGATTCTGCTAATTTCATACCATCCAGAATCAATACATATCAAGAAAACATAATTTTGGACAGTACCAAGACGCAGCAAGTGTCTTCTCATTTCCCACTTGCAACCCTCAAAGTTCACAAAGAATAACGTCGCTGAAGCTTCATGCCAATACCGCCCAGTTCGAGTGGTCGCCTCCTGGCTTCTCGCTGATTGGTGCCTACCAAAGCAATGTCTCAACTATTTGCAACAGGCCCTGATTGACATTGACATCTGACAACTAGAAGTTGAATATTCTCTCAAACGAGTGCTTTTTGGGTGACACAGTCAGAGTCAAAGTCTTGCATGGCCTTCATTTATCTAAGTTGTTTTATCATTATATGATGGTGAGTTCCAGTTCAGTCACTGGGGATGCCGGGCTATTTCTATGGACAGCTGTGCCGTTCTTGCTTTGTTTGATAAATTGCTTGAATCATATAATCATGAACTTGCCATGTGCTCTAAATATATGCCGGCAGGTCCTTTTATGCAGTGGTGCCGGCCTCTTGCTCGCCATCAAACGCAAGCGACGGTGACTATATCATAGAAGAACAGGTGAGTATGCCTTCATGCGACACGATACCGGTTACTTCCATTACATGCCATACTACTAGTAACAAGTGCATCGCTACTAGTAACAAGTGCCTTACTAGTAGAAACAAGAAGCTATTAGAAACAAGGGCATCGCTACTAGTAACAATAACATAATGATACATAATGTAGCATGTTAGACAGCCTCACACGACAGTAGACTCAGTAAAACTTGCTCACCTGCAAGTACCGTTCTTCTTCATGCTTGTATTCTGCTGTGTTGTCCTTTGAGGTTGGCACCCAGATGATCCAAGTGCCTCAGAACCTCAGCCTTCACCCATACACACACTGGGCGGTCTACACCAAGTCGACGCTGGTCGAACAGAGTACACCAAGCTCGTTGCTGATCTATGCCCTTTGAATGCAATTGAGAGTTGCACGCAACACACAATTTCCTTCAAGGCTGAAAGATGCTGAAATAGAATTGTTAGAAGGAGCCTTTGACCATCTCTGACCAAATGAATCCAAATATCCAGTGGACGCCTGGTGAGAAAGCACCATGAAGTCAACATGAGTCAACTTGGTAGCCTACGATGCTCGCCTCAGGTCGCGGATGTCGAATTATCCGAGTTGGAAAAGGTCTACTAATCTTATATGCAAATACTCAAGAAAACCATAGTTTATGTTTTTTCCAATCACCAAACAACAGTTCCGGAGCTGGAGCTGAATCGTCATTTTTATTTTGTGCACAAGGACTACGTGGCCAATGTCTCGAACATCACGTTCCAAGGCCCAGAGGGTGTCTTCGCCGGCGTAGACGGGCGTAGATGTTCACAATGCCTTAACAACAGTGACAGAAACTCACTATATTCGATCTCACCATATCTCACCAGTGAATCGAGGAGATGGATGAGATACGATGAGATTTCAGATTTGCAAGTTTGCTTGTTTCTGGAGTGGTTTCCGATCATCAATCAAAGATTCTACAGTTGGGCTTCTTTCGTGGCACGCAGATTGTAGAGAATCTATCTCCGACAAGGGCCCTGGGCATGCTCGCCCTGACGATGAAATCCATTCCTTGATTCCAACCTTGGTTTTGTGTTCTGTCGATAAAAAGAACTACCAATCCTTTTCGCACATAGTGGGCACCTGCAGGCTTGGACTTGGACTATGCACACTTGGGCGGCACCATCGAGTGGGTAGAGCCTGCCACCTGACTCCAAGCAAGCCGCGAGCGGACACACAGCATCGAAACGGGTGACACTCCATGGAGAGCCTGATAAGGGTCATAGATTTTGCTTGATTTCCATAGGAATTCGTGCCTTCAGCTCTTTAGCCATTGAGCGAAGAAGGATCATACAGATGATTTCTGCAGAAGAAGTGATCAGCTTCGCGCCATGCAGTGTCACCTCTTTGACAGGCTTTGACTCAGCGCGTCTACAGCTATGTGGTGTACCTGGCAGAAACTGCGATGGGAGAATACCGCTCGCAAGTGGAGAATGAGGCGAGGAGGGAAGCCATGACAACTAATTATTTTGATTTGTTGGTTGCAGGTAGACAGCAGTGCCCTTAAACACCCTTCACCCTTCTTCTGATGTCATTTTGTGATGTGTTCCCGCAGACCAAAGTGCTTCAGGTTATCATCGCTTTAGGGGAATTGATGCCGGCCGGTTCGGAAAGGATTGTTTGCTTGTGTTCTTCAGGTTTTGGTTGGGGGTCATCAACTGCTGGTGCCTCCAGATACACTTCGTTTGTCCTACACGCACTTCGCAACTTGGATTTTACTGGGAAGGGGAGCTCAGCCAGGATCCCCTAGTAGCGTTCTTGCTCCTAGTAGTAAGGCCAGGATCCCCTAGTAGCGTTCTTGCTCCTAGTAGTAAGGCCAGGAGCCCCTAGTAGCGTTCTTGCTCCTAGTAGTATGGCCAGGAGCCCCTAGTAGCGTTCTTGCTCCTAGTAGTATGGCCAGGAGCCCCTAGCAGCGTTCTTGCTCCTAGTAGTAAGGCCAGGAGCCCCTAGTAGCATTCTTGCTCCTAGTAATACAGGGTGCTTGACACTTCAGACCAGTTTTGCTTTTCCGACCCTACCCGGATTCAAACCAACCTCTTGTCATGAAGACCAGCTGTATGGATATTACTATTACTTTTTGAGACCCAAGTTTCAAGCGGCGTTTCTTGTCAGCTGGAAATACTTGCCATCAGGTCATTTACACAAAGTCAACACTTGCGGAGCAGCCACTTGTCCTGTCATGCGATTTGGGAAAGGTCAAATGACTACCCAGCACCAATACACAAGGCTACTTTGGCAGTAATCGATAGCATGCCACAAGCAGAAAGCTTTGCGGTCAAGCTGTGGGGAACCCAGCTTGATTGCCTCGGATGATGTAGCAGTAACTGCACTTGCCAGGACCACTCCATCGTACTTGGCATTCTTAGATGAAATCTCTGTTGCTGGCAACGTGACCTTTGTAGATGACGACTTGGACCGTCATGAGAATCTCGCTCAGCAAGCTCACATATGTGCGTTATTGCTTACTGTGCTAAATCCTCGTGTCTTAGTAGGATGGTTGCTGACCAGATGTCCACAAGTGTCCAACTTGTGATAGACATGACATAGAACAGCAGTTTGACATGACAAGTATTGCTTCCTTGTCCCATTGCGGTTCACTCTTTGCACGCTGCATTTGACAACCGAAGCTCCCCTTGCCATTGTCAGGATTGGGGGTGACTTAGTGTGGCTTCAGCCTGAAGATGACTCGGAGGTGACCCACTACATTGTCTATTTGGCAGAAGATTCTTGGCTTTCAGCCTTGAGCTTTTCCAAAAGCATTCCCTATCACATTTGCCAGAAGACTGCAAGCTTTGGGTAGCCAACGAGTGTGTTGTTCATATGTATCAAAGGACCTCCCCCAACAACCTCGTGTGATTTTGATATATAGACGGCAAACAGTTATACGTAAGGGCTTATAGTGATTTGCACATGTGGGTTAGAATTCAACAGCAACCTACACTACTTCAAGATGCAATGTTTTGTTTTGTTTTTTTTGCGAGCAATCTACAGTACCTCAAGATGCGTTGCTTTTGTGCGATGATTCTAATTACTTGTAAAACACCACTTTGGAGGGCAGGGCAGTGATTATTCAACGCTGTGCACTTTGACAGGTGTTGACAGGTTCAGAGTCAGAAGTTGCATTGCTACATTTTTTCTGAATTTTGACCAAACAGACCAAGCCTGTTTTGCAAATTAAGGCCTTAGCAACAAGGCTTGTTAGTTGTGATATGTTGGCTACACTAATACTCTGCTAAGACCTGCTCCTTAAAATTGAATCATCTAGTGGGGTGGGGTTCCAGGTCGGTTATTCAAAAAAACATGTTTTGAGGGACCAAGGCATTGGGCACTCGCATACTGGTAAGCATGGTGGAAGAGCAAACGGTCTGGAAAAAAGGACGATTCCAGATTGTTTATTTCTACTTCTTTGGACTCCCTAGCCACTCAGTTGCGTTTTTTCCTGCTGGCTTTGTCTCGCCCGGCCGATTAGTCTAAGCAAATGGCCTATGGCCAAGCGCACATGCACTTTTGGCAGCGAGCTCGGGCACGGGCTATGGAGATGCGCGTGGTGAGTCCAGGTGAGAGCCAGGCGAGTTGCGATTGCCGCAGGGAAACTGTGTAATAGTCTGTGTAATACTCTATGGAGGACTATATATATATACACATGTATGTACATATAGAAATATACATAAGATAAAAACTAGGGTGTGTGGGTTGGAGAAACAACAGAGATCACGGACACTTCATTCCGGTGAGCCTGGTAGGCCTCGAAGTAGGCCTCGACCGAACTTAAGTCGAACATAGTGTGCAGTATGATGGACCACGTGCAAAGAGAACTTAAGAGAACAAGCTGTGTATATATACTACCCGCCACTGACATAGGATTTGTCGGAGGTATGCTCAAAAACACAACTCCCATGTCATGAGGAAAGAGTAAAATGTGCCAAAAGCCACAAGTCCTAAGTCACGACGCCAAAACTAGCAAAATCAGGAAACTTACAACACCCTCTTTAAGGATTCCTGGAATTGTAGAAACGCAGGACAAAACGCATGACTGGAGATTTGTGCGCCAAAAACAACCTTCTGGAGGAGAGAAGCGGCGAGGCAAAAATACTAAAGTAGTCTATGGCATGCTCTATTTGCTTGTCAATCATCAGTAGTATCATCAGAATTTGCTCGTGAACGAGATAGGGCCCCCACATAACGAGATATGTGCAGCATGTGTGTCCAGCATCCTCCGCGGGACCATGCAAAGTATTGTGTGGGACCCAGGCGTGATGCTGGAACACTGATGGGGACACGAGGGTTCCTGGGTCACATGGTCCTTGCCTGGCCCTACGTCAGAGGGGTCTCAATAACCCGGCTGATCCGTCAAGGAACCCCTAACGCGTATATCAGGCGGATTTGGTTGGGGATTGGCACCACCGGCTAGGGACCTCCTGGGCTGGCTCCGGCCATCACCTCGGGTGGAGAACAGGGATTCCTTTTTCACGTGTCGCGGCGATGCTTTTGGCAGTCAATACCCCACAGTTAACATGTACCCGTAGTAGTACCCGTAGTATACGTGTGATACATGCTGATGCATGGTCTAGTCTCCCACGTCCGCAGGTTTGAATGTTCCTAGGCCTAGGCCTGGTTTCAAATTCGATCGATCGTGCCTTCAACGGCTGTTTTGTTCATTAAACACAATAACGATTATATATCACCGGAATGAAGTGTCCATGATCTCTGCTGTTTCTCCAACCCATACATCCTAGTTTTATCTTATGTATATTTCTATATGTACATACATGTGCGGCGGCAATTATTTGGTACCAAACTCAAATACACTATCTATTATGTGAAGGCCCTATCTACTTTAGACTACTTAAGTAGGAGGTCATGTCACAGTAACTCGTTCAGACGACAGTTCACACGACTTTAGTAGCAAATCACACTATCTCGTTCAGACTACTTTAGTGTCGTCATAATCGTTTTTGTGTTTAATAAACAAAACAGCCCTTGAATGTCTCACACAAACCAAACGGGGGGGGGGGCAGGACGTTCCCAAAATGCTGCCAATGCCGCAAGGTGGTCACCGAAGGTGTGCTCGTTCGCCATTTGGCCCTCAACCCGGAATTGGAAGGCGGCTGGGATGGATGCATCAAACAAAGTCATTGCAACGGTAAAATAATCAGGGCCAATTGTTTCCACATTACTCCTCTAATCATCTCCAATCAATGTTCATGAACTAAATAATAATGTGTGTGAGGTCGATCGAAAATATTGGAACTAATGATCCATATGGACAGGGTTTTTTCCACCTGCCAAGCCGGCAGCAGTTACTGCAGTTAAGGACCGGCGGGGAGACGGTAGAGATGATATTGTCTTTGTAGTAATGCCTATCTTGACGCTTCAAGGTGTCCGAACTTGTTGCTTTTGTTGAAGGTCATTTTTTGCTTTTGGTGGGAAGAGAGCACAGCGACCCTAACGAACGTGCAGCACAGAATGTGAGGCTGCAGAAAAGGCGGTTCAGAGGGCACGTATGAAGAACATTGAAGAAAACACTCCCAAATATTCACACAAGTTACATTCTGACTAGTATTCTGACTCACTGACAACTTCCTTTATGCAGGCAGGCAGGTCTTCAATTCCATAGTGGTGAGTCGAAGGGAAGGATGGCCGAAACGACCTGCAGAACCAGCATCCAGTTTAGAAAGCCCCACCAAAGTCCCTTTAAACTTGAAGTTTACCTATGTTTACCTCATAGATGAATGATGTGAAGTGACGCAGCACTTGTCTTGGCTTTGCTTTGCCGAGGGGAGGCCTGCGGCCTGGCTGGAATCACATTCAATATATACATGAAAAACAGACATTCACATTCACATGATTTCACATGTTTGAACACTTACTTCACACAGACATTCACATTCACATGTTTGAACACTTACTTCACACAGACATTCACACTCACATGTTTGATCGCTTACTTCTCTACATATCTTGGAGACCCTTCTCATCCTCCGGCCAAGTGAGCCATTGGTGTGCGCCCGCCATCCGGTACTTCATTGATCTTACCTGGCCAGCTCTTTCTGAATGGCGTCCCATGGAGGCGGCAATGATGGGGGCAACGGTGGAGGCAATGGCGGTGGAGGCGGTGGGGACAGCAATGGGGGCAACAAGGGTGGAGGCGATGGGGGCAACAATGGAGGTGGCAGTGGAGGTGGCAATCCACCCTCGCCACTTCCTAAAGAGCCCCCGCAGATCATACTCCACGGCCGCGTTTGGCAGCCATCAGTCTCAGTGCACGGTCGCGGTCACGCAGCCGTCATCGCTGATCCTGCCAGCGCTGAAAACATCATCCCGGATTCGTGAGATCAGCTTGAGCGGTGGAATTCCATGACCTTGTTCTTGTGTATGTTCCTGTTCCCATGACCATCCATGCAAAATTTCACACCCCGGTCAGACCACATGAATCAGATTTTTCATACTGTTTCAAGAAACATCCCTTGGAGGATCTTCTGATTTTGCTGCCCATGTCCTTTCTTTAACACCTATGGTTTCCTAGTTTACAATTGTTCGAGGTTCAATCAAAACATATGCTTTGCTGGCTGAAATACACTTACCGTAAGTTCGCTTACCATGAGAAACGGGACTGAGATGTTACGACAGGTTTTTTGGTACAATTTGTTCCATACTCCCTTTCATACCCGTTCCATATTTTATGGGACCAGGGATCCGTTCCATCCCCTATGACGCAACTGAATATGCACACCAAAAATCAAATCTGCCCCAACTATTTATGAATAGGTTTTCAGACAAGTCACATCTGAATAAACTATGTATGACTGACAAAGTGTGTTTAATTTTAGTTTTGGGGTGCTCGGATACTGCAGGACTCCGACCTTTCTTGGCTTGCTGGTGTTCGTGGACCTTCAGGTCGGCGGGATGGGGGGCCATCCAAGTATGGCCATGGGTCAATACCAATTGTCACCCAAATATGGTAGGTGAACATCCCCAACAAGACTATTCTTTTTCAATTTTGGCATACGGGGGTTTGACCCACAGCCATATATAAAAATATTACTATAAGTATTACTATATTTTTTACAATAGAGGACTCGATCGAATCGAACGAGGGGCCGGTTGGGCCGGCAGGCTTACTATACAGACAACTGAAACATTTGTTGTCAATGTCGTGATTGGGCCTTCCTTTTTTAGTTTTATGTTCAAGACCTCCAGGATTCCTCTTTCTGGGCCCTTGTCGAGTCGCGGGGGAGACCCTTAAGTGGGTGGAGGCGGGAGTTTCGCGCGATGGGGGGGTCATGGCATGGCCATGAGTCAAAACGGTTTGGTGTTTGTTCGCTGTTCCATACCCATCATTCCATACCTATGGATTCCTAGTTTACAATTGTTCGAGGTTCAATCAAAACGTGCGCTTTGCTTGCTGACACCATACCATGATATACCATGGCTAGAATGCCATGAATATCCATGAATCTATGAACTCCATTGAACTCCCAGAATCTCCCAGACCTTCAACCCATGGCAGTCCCATTTCCCGAATGCATAGCAAAGGGTTTTGTTTAGGGCGTCTTCTCCCCTCCCGGACGTGTTCCCCCGGCCGGTTCAGACTCCAACAGGCCAAACCACTAGACCAGGGTCTAAGACAAAAGCAAGGTTCCTGGGGTCCTACCGATCGATCTATCTATCTATCCCATCCTGTCCTTTCCTGCATCATCCATCATGGGGGGTTAATAAAACAATGGTGGTGGTGGTGGTGCAGTTTGTGTGAAACAAAGAATGGGCCTGCCAATTGAAACTCGGCTTAAGAAGAAAAAACGAATTGCATTTTGAGAAGCAATTCTGTTGTTTTGGCACCTCCAGAGAGGGTGGGACGGGCTTTCGCGATGCCCTGCGCGATCCACCTGGTCCAAAACATCTTGACCTGTGAGAGGCCTGTAGTTGGGGTTGACTTTTGTGGGTGAATTCATTCTTTGTTTTTCTAACAGTGTTCAGGCCTCTCCATATTTAAGTTTGGCAGTCCCTAGACTAGGTGAGCCCGCAAACCAGCCTGTAACACTGATTGCAGTGTCGCACCAGCTGCGTTCAGAGGTCTAGATGGGCCCCCTTTGGGGAATTGGTCAAGGTTAGACTTGACCAAGTTTTGAGAATGGGATGGCTTATTTGTTTTTTGGATTGGTGGTCTTCCTTTCGTGCCAAGGTGTGTGGGATATCCTTACGCTGATTGAAAAATGTATTTTTCTGTTAAACCAGTTGTACTCCCTCATTGCACTTGGCAAAGGTGGTGGTTGGTCATCATCCAGGAAAGGATCATTTTTCATGGGCCTCCCACCGCCCATCACAGGAGGAAGGAATAGAGAAGACAGACATAGACAGACTAGACAGACAGACTAGACAGACACAGACACAGACACAGACACAGACACAGACACAGACAGACAGACATAGTGTAGCATTTTGGACCAAGTGGCTCAAGTGGCTCGAGTTGAAGGCAGGCGCATTGAAGGCAGGCGCGTTGCAGGCAGGCGCGTTGAAGGCAAGCGCGTTGAAGGCAGGCGCGTTGAAGGCAGGCGCGTTGAAGGCAGGCGCGTTGAATCAAGAGCCATCCTTGCACTCGGCGATGGGCCAATGGTCATGGTGGTGCTGTGACATGCATTGACTGCGTGAGCAGGGACAACAGCGCTATGGCCTGCAATGAGGACACTTGTCGCATCAACGACAAGGCGCAATGGGCGCCAGCCTGGCGTGCAAATGCAGCTGTCAGGGTAGCTGTCAGTGCATCTGTCCATGGGCGCTTCTACGGCATTGATCCGAAACCATCTTTGCAGATGGGAGCGGCCCTTCACCTGGTCCCGGACCGTGAGCGAGAACGGGACCGTCGAGAGTACCGTTGAGTAGGAGCTGTTTAGAGTGCTGTTTAGAGCAGGGGTCAAATCAAGATGTCATGTTTATTGGGTTTTATTGGGGGCAAGCTCATCAGGCAGACGACTTCAAAACGGTTTGGGGCAATGCGGTTTGGGCGTCATTTCTCGGGGCAATTTCTGCAGCATGAGTTTGCACCAATTTGGTAAATACGGAAACTAGATTTAGAAGCCTAATACTGATGCACGAGAAAGAGCGAGCGAGTCAATTTGAATGTTTCTTGTCATTGTTGACCATGCACTTGGCACATCTCTTGTATAAAATGGACCCCTGGTTTCACAGGTCCGCGCAAAAAGCGGTTGACTCCGTCCAGGGCGCCTGAGGCAAAGCTATCGGAAGTGCCTTTGCCGCCCCAGCTTTGTACAGCGCTGCGCGTCGTGATCCTCGATCACGTTGGCAAGTCAAAGTTCAGACCTACCTAGTTCGCTTCAACGAGTGCCCTTTTTGCCTAGGCCAGTAGATTCGAGGATCACTTACCGGTCCAGACAAATTGGTCGGGCCCCGACCTGACCGGGTTGAAGGTCGGGGCCCGAACTGGTCAAAGGTCGGAGCCCAAACTAGTTGAAGGTCCGAAAGGTCGGGGCCCGAAGAGGGTGTCTGCACGCCTGACAAACATCACTCTAAACAATTTGATATGTCATAAATAGTAGGTTATTGATAGTGTTGTTGATATAATATAGTAGTTCTCTTTTTAGCATGATTGAAGAACCATGTAGTAGCGGCCTCAAAACAAGCAATTCTTCGCACCTCCATGAGACCGCCGTGGCAATAAGTTCAGGAAACTTTGTTGGCTTGAAGCAACCCTCTTCTGACAGAGCATTGCCAACGGTTCAACAAGAACCGTTGTCTGCTCCCGGTTGCCTTTGGACCAATTCTAGCACCATGTGGTGCACGTCCCACAGCCCGCCCGTCATCGGAACGAAAAGAGTGCCGCCTGCAAACGGGCCATGACTTACATTTTTCATCGCCTTGACCTGTACGTACTTCAGGTAGGTACTTCGAACAAATAGTAATTTTCAACATATGTATTTGTAATTTCCATAGGCACATACACGTAGAAAAAGCTTTGCACCTAGGATAATTGAATCAGAGGGTGGGGGGGTGGAATTTTGGTTAAGGAGAGGGTGTACTCTGCTAAAAAATACCAATAATAAAGATATTCACAGAGACACTTGTGCGCAGTGTGCTTTGGGGGGCTCTCTACGATACCTAAGACTTGTGAATGAGGGTTCCCGTGTGGCCTATTGCTGAGGACAGGAGTGGCAGCAATCGTTCCCTGTTGGGGAATGTCTCTCAGGGAGTGCACCTTTTTGCAGTGCCACCGGACACGCCCTTGATGGCCTTCACTCACTTGTGCATCTTTGCCAGGCCGGTCGGGACTGGCCAAAACGCAGCAATAAGTGCACATCATTCCAGTGTGAAACACCCTGGCCAACAAACGGTTTTCATGGTTTGCATGAAGATCAATCAAGATCTCCAAGTAGAAACAACCTCGCGCTCTGACATTGATACTTGATACAATAATACTTGATGATCTTTGTGGAACAATCGCTCTTGATTGACACTCAGTGTATTCTCACGTCGATTCATGTCACTTGCTTCGTTCTCCCTTTTTTCAGGTCGGTACTGGTTGAGGCGACGACACCGAGCTCAGTGTCTCGGAACAACTCCGATGGAGACGGGCAAAGTTCTTGGATTTCCATCCTGAATCCAGGACATCGAAAGCCATAAACATGAAAACACTCTCCGTCATTATTGATGCATTTTTGATGCATTTTTGCACTGGTGGTGGGGTTTGTATCGCAGAACATCTCGATAGATCAAGGCAAACCTTGGCAAGGATGCAGGGATTCACATGGTTGCTTGAGCACTAGGTTTAAAGTTTAAAGTATATGGTAGCCTGGTAGCTCCTTTCAGAGGTTGCAAGGCTATGGAAATTGGTAGATTGGTACCACTTAGATCTCAGGGAAGTCAACACCGAAAGAACAAAACCTGTGTTTGAATCCCCACCCACCTCAGTTCATCTTCCAGTCTCAATGTGGGAGAATCAAGAGAGTTTCAGCAGGCAAGTCATTGATTTGCCGCATGTGTGCTTTATCGAAATAGATTCTTCGCATATCTTCACATCAAGTTCATGAAGTCGATTTGGGGCCACTCTTGGTCGCACGTGGTTGGACGTTCCAACGCCCCAAGCCTGGTGGTGCATCAGGTGTTGGTGGTAGACATTTCCTCGAGCATCTCTGCCTTGAGCTTCACGGATTTGGATTTGGATCCTTTAGAGCTCGGAGGGTGGATTACATGGACACCTCCAGGGAAGCTTGGACTCAAAGGATCCAAGATGGCTGAGGCCTATTTGGGCTAGATAAGAATGTGGACAGTGCTCTTTGTGGAGGGAGTAAGACTTGATAGCGAGATTTGGTATGCTGATGTTTATAACATTTCACATCATTTCACTTTTCTGTAATGTGACTGTGTCAAAAGGGATGCACTTGATGGTCAGGGCCAGTGGTCACATTTGCAATTTGCTGGCATACAGGACTATGCCCACTATGTTCAATGTGCCAAGGATTTGTACAGTCTATGTAAGTGCAGGCTCGCACTTCCCCACCTCAGCCCATGGGATTTTTTCCCATGTTCCTAAATGTTCAATCACGTTCATAGTAAGTGTCCCGAGGAATTTTGCAAGAGTCGTTAGCTACATGGTCTACTTGGCCACCGACCCGTTTGGTGCTGGACGCGTGCAGGCCTGCAATGACACGGAATGTGCAGGTCACAGCAAGAGATTGTCCGAAACATACAACCAAACTAACTCTGACAGCATGAAGAAATGACATGAATTGACACACGCAATATTCCTTGAAGAGTATGATATAGCAAGGTCAACCGGAAATAGAATGTGTGCCTTCGTCTCAGGTTGGAGAAGTGCCATTGGGTGGAAGCTCCCAGCTGCTGTTGCCAGAGACAACACTGGATGCGTTTTCGCATGTGGTTCCCTTGACAGAGCTTCAGCAACACGTTCATGTTTGCATATTTTGCCTTCAGAGGGGTGTAGTGTGGTGTCGCGGCACAGATGCCATTGGAGGCCATCGCTATTCGGTTCCTTTTGCTATTAGGTTGCAGGCCATTGCTATTTGGTTTGTTTTTGATCGGAAATGCCCAGGCAGTGAACTTCAGAGATTTGTTTGTTCGTCTCGCACCAGGTGGTCTACAGCAAATCAATACTGGCTGAACAAAGCACGCCAGTTGCGTTCCTCGGTGGAGCATTTTCAGCAAAGCGTGAACAATTTCTTCAAACTCATTTCAAAGCAAGATGCCTGGGCTCCTGCCTCATGTCCTCCCACCCGTAGTTGCGGACGTTGATGCAGGTTCAGTATCGTGGACAATGTGGCACAAGTCTCGGACAGTGGGGTTGGATTCAAATTTTGATCCTTGCAGACAAGAGTATGAACAATGAATTGCAGCAAACAGGCTTCATGTTGAGGGTAGGCTGTGAACAACTGACTTTTTGCACCCTTGATAGATAGAATTTGCACAGCCCAGTTGCATCAATGAGCTTTTCAAAAATAGGCACTTGCCCCACTCCCATGTTTCCAACAGAGGCTGCAAGACTGCCGCAGGATATTGTGTTCCCTGATTTCGACCTGGATGCCGATGATCTTGGAGGTATTTTGGAGTGGCAAGCACCTTCAGACACATCGAAGGTCAGGGGACATGTTCTTTCTGCTTCATTCTTGGGGAATGCGGTCAGTACCATTCGTAAGCCTCATAAGTCTTGCAAAAACTATTTGTCCAGCTGATTGATGTCAGTCCGCAGGTGAGCCAGTATGAGGTGTACATGCTCGAAGTCAGCGTGGATTCTCCAAACTGCAGCTTCCGCAATAGCACCTTCTCCATGGACAGCACCTGTGAACGCCGACATTTTGGCAGCTCTCCCGTGGGTGTTGAGAATTTGAAACTTGACGTCTTGATGATTTGCTCAGACACGCTCCTGAGAGGACCCGTTGAGTGTAGCTTTGCTCCAGCCCACTTAGGCCATGGAAGCTGAACCAAAAGACACAATTGTTTTTTTCTTCACTGAGGACTGTGCCCGTCGACACAGCCGTGGAGAATTACTCCTACTTTGCCATTTTTTCACGATCCAGCTTGGTGGAGCAAACCACACCTACTATGCACCTGTTTGATGCCTCGTGGCAATGAATTCAGGCATGACTTTGGCTGGTCAGATGGCGCACACTTTCCATTAGTCATTGCTGACGTTCGCATGAAAGCTTCTGGAATTTTGGAAATGCTGCTCATTTTTTATGCACTCGATGGACGAGCGAAGATTTGCTCGGTGAAGCTGAGATAAGGATATGATCGCCAGCGTTTCCAACATCAGGCAAGGTCTCGAATGGTTTCGGTTGGTCGCTTGGGGCGCCTGATGGCCAATCAGGATGCCTGATGGCAACAACCTGCGGCACCAGGCTTCCCTTTCCAAAGAAGAGCCGTCCGATGCCATCTTCACTGATCAGTAGTATTCAGTAGTCCTATTGACGAGCACAAACATTCTTGCTCTACGGTTATGGTCAAGCAAAGGTTGCGCTGATTCAATGTTCCAAATCACACCTTGGAACCAGGTTCACAGATCAGGACTTGGATGACGAGGAGATTGGAGGGAGGATCCTGTGGACTCATCCTTCGCTGATGCAACGAGCACATGCCTTACAAACGGGAACGGTGAACTTGCCACGAAGATCACAAAGAATGAGATCACATGACATGAGATGAGCATTTTTGGTAGGTGGACGTGACATGTCCAAGGTCTACACGTACCGTCTTTACCTCTCGTCCACGGACTACGGCCTGCAACGTTCTTTGATTGCAGAGCTGCCCAAGACGATGTCAGCGGAGGATTTGCCGCCTGAGACTGAAGCAGCTCCATTTCTAGCCACTTTGGCTCGTTAAACGATGTAATTAGATCTATATAACGATCGTTGAATGAGGTTTTGAGAATGACAGAACGACAAAAGCATACAAAAGCCATAAAATGGCCGATGTTTCTGTTTGAGCCTGCAGAATTGCTAAGGCGATTTACACCACCTCCACGTTGACAGAGCAAACTACACCTGTTGCCCTTGCAGTGGAGGACAAGTTTGCACCAGTAGCGGGCTTACTGATAGTGATTTGAGACGGATTAGCTTGAGCTTTGTTGGTGAGAAGCCAGATGATGCTTGTCCCAGCATCACCAGGCGTGTTTGCTTTTGCTTCAGAATAGGGTACAGCTCGGCTCTTGCTCTCACTCAAGCCAACTGAGCCAAGGTCTCCAATATAAGCTTTCCTGACTTCGATTTGGATGAGACTGACTTGGGAGGAACATTGACATGGGCACCACCGCTGGATGAAAGCCAAGTGGAGCAATATGTACCTTGGCACACTCGCTGTGTTGACTCTGGCGCTTGGTTTGTGAACCCTGAAGATGTAGACTTGAGCTTGACACCACCAATGCTCTTAGAGACAGACAGCCTGCAAAGGGGGTTGAAACGTCTTGCTGGTTTGTTGGTTTGTGCAAAACTCAGATGATCTACTTGGCGATGTTCACGCAGAATGCATCTGATGCTTGGCTGAATCTCTGCAGGGGGGCCAAGGGCCAAGAATCATCATTTTGGATATCTTGATAGTGCATCTGGCATGAAGGAAGGCCCGAAGCCTTACGATGCCTTGGCTGAAAATTTTGTGGAATATAATGGAATAGAGTATAATATGTATATGATTGTATATGCATATTATGTAGTATATGCTTGATGCATTGACAGAAATGCATCCATTGTTAATCGGCCCCAGGGTCCCACTCCGTCGAGACCTAAGTCTCTAACGCCACGCTCCAAGGAATGCCCAGACACTGCAGATAGCACCAGCTTTGTTGCCCTCGTCACAGGCGGATGAGAGAGAGAGAGAGAGGCAGTACACGACACAACCTAATGAAGCCTGTTATCGCTGTCCGAAACTTCGGGAGAACATGATTGAGTAGGGTGACGAAACCAGAGTGGGTAAAGGCGATGTGCGTTCATATCGATTGGACAAAGTTACCGATGCTCCAGGACCTTGTTGAAAAGAGCTTCCAGGTCCCAGACAGAGGTCCACACTTCAATCATCTTCAAACACATCCTTCACAGTTCCATTTGGATCTCTGTTTGCCTTCCAAATTCTTCACCTTTGGATGCGAGCCCCGTTGAGGCTCCATGACCCTGACCTTGGCTGGTGCAAGTCCATCTCAGTTGGAAAGTGCCATGAAGGTGTCCGGGCGCATTGACCATGTTCTTCGGTTTCTTGCAAGTTTCTGTTTCTTGTAGACAGTCCAGATTCGAAAACTAGGTCGTACTTTTGCAGGAGTCTCGCTGGAACAACGAATCTGAGTCATTTCTTCACTGCTTCGCCTTGTTTGAAGGCATCTTTGGCTGCTTTCCTCTCGGTCCCCATCAGCTGGATATCAGTGTCTGTGAACCCCGCGGCACGCCGCCTCAACAGGCTCTTATTTGGGGTGGTTTCTGGAAGCAGGAAGCTTTTCGAGGGATGTGCAGGTTTGCTTACACTGCGTTCATTTGTTTACATTGACACAGTTCCTGAGTGTTCCTGATATATTTGAATGCCGTGAGTGGGGTTGCTAAATGGTAAAACACATTGTATTCTAGGTGTTGGACCTTCGATTGTTGCACTCGTTTCTTCAGTTACTGTAATTTGGGCAGCTTTCGCAGGGAACCTGTTTGGGATTATTGGAAGATGCATGTACATGTTGATAAACCATCAGGTACCCTTTCCAGACATTTATACCGTTACCCCGATTGTTTGTCTTCAGGTTTCAGAATGTACAGCAAAGGTGTACTTAATCTTGGAATTAGGGGTGGTCAAGCCTCCATCTGCATATTATTAATGTACCATCAGACAATTGAAGTCCGAGGAGAAGCATAAGTTGGAAGCTGCAGTTTCTAAGACACTACTAGTTATGGACTGTTTGTCCAGCGACGACTGCGGTTATGACAGAATTTGGGTGCTGCGGCACCAGTGTTGCCGTGGTGGGACTTTGTTCAGCCTGGATTCAGACTGAACAAGTTTGTCACAACTGCTCCTCAATACCCTACTAATGAATTACTGGCATTTGAAGAAAGAACGTGTCGATACATGTCGAAGCCTTTCTGATCATTGCTCAACTTTGCTCTCATGAAGATGCACTGAGCCTCCGTTCCATCCCGCATCTTGACATCATTCACGCGTCGCTTGGAAATGCTTCGCAGTTCTCGTCTCATGTTCGAAGCTGCGAAGACGGGGCAGGCGAGATCGCCGCCTTTCGACCAGTTGGACAGTGTGCCTCGCACAGAAAGCCTTTCAGGGCCTGTTAGCCTGCCAGAGGCTACTAGGAACAAGGACGCTACTAGGGGCTCCTGGCCTTACTACTAGGAACAAGAAGCTACTAGGGGCTCCTGGCATCGCTACTAGGAACAAGGACGCTACTAGGGGCT